CGTTCTATACTACGGCCAGTCAACCGGCAGAGGAATTAGGCGAAGCTTACTTACCTATATCCAAGGCGACTGGTCCCTCCGGAGTCGGTCAGGTCACATGTGGTTGTGTAGTGAAAGGGAAATAAATGATGTGATGTGTATCTGGGTGTGACTGATGGTGATTGAACCTAGACCTTGGCCGTCGGCAGCAGCCCGAGTGTCGACACCGCTCCAACTTCAGGGGGCCTTCCGAGGTTGTCCACAGTCACTTTCCTCTTTCGTCACGATGACAGTCAATTAACTCTATCGTACGATTTACTAACTTACAGAAGCCACTAACTATCGCGGGTTATAAGGTTAACGCAAAAAACGCACACGGAGTTTACAGTTTATTAAAGGTCACTACCGTTTCGCGTCGCAACAGTTAGTTCTAGAATATCAGAGGCCGCACTAACTAATATTGCCTAATGCACTTATGCAGATTCTGAGTCAAACACAATGAGTCCCTGGGAAGCTCTCCAGCAGGAATGCGCGTCACAATGATAGACCGTACATTTACTGGCCGCGTCGAATTATTCCGAGTTCCCGACAAAATGACAGAGTGCCAATCGTGAGCACTGCCTAAGGACGACTGACTGTCCTTGGGCGTTTTTCGCACGACCGAAAGTCAAACCGGTATGAATGCACCGCGCCGAGCGCCCTCTCGCGTCAATCCTTGAAAGTGTTTGGCGCGAACAGTTATATTTCATACTTATCTAAATTCACAAAAAGAAAAATATCACTTCAAGTTAAAAACTCAGAAAATTCAATTAATGAGTTATAAGAATGATAAACTTTTTTTAAACAAGTAACGTATTTAAAGAAACAATTCACACGATGCCGTCCATCATATGCTCATAGAAAAATAATTGTGACAGTGAATGTGATATCTGCAATAAAAAATATATAAAAAGTAGTTGTATTCAAAAGCGCAGATTTCGAATAGTAATTGATGAATACGATGAGAACATCTATAATGAAAAGGTATGAAAAAAATATTCACTGTTACTTAGAAAAATATAAATGTCAAATAATTCAAAATTAAAGTAAATAAAAATATTTTTAAATTTTCCGATTCTCCTTATATCCCTCGTTTATTTAACTCTGTTAGTTCTTTTATTGCATGCCTTAAGCGAAAGCGCAAGGTATGTTCTACTATCGCCTAAAAATTAAGATTCCAACGTTTTATCGAATAAAATCATATCTAGCAATCATATTATACATATAAATGATATAAAAAGCACATTGTTAGAAAGATAAATGATTGTTGAACGCATTAATATTTTTTTAAATCGATAAATTGTTATTTTTAAATAAAAAAGGGATTTTAGTGGCTTATGGTGTGGATTTATCATGTCCCCAAGGCTTGTAAACACGATAACTTTTGAAAATATCAATTATTTACCTCAATCTATTTTTTAATCTCTTCATCTATCGTGTGGAAAGCCACTGAATGTAAATGGCAGTGTAATTCAAATTGTTTAGCTATAATTATTTTTTTTTGGCTCCAAAATGGCGAAATTTTCATTGATTTGGTAGCCTTGTATGTAAATTATTTCTGTAAATAGGGAGCTACATACAGCTTGTACAGCCACAGAGTAGTTTACTCAATCACTCAGTTCAGCGTCAGTCGCCGTCGTGAGTGGACATTGTTTCGGTTGTTTGCAGCGGCTCAAAATGATCGATGTACAAATACACAATATTCGAATAACCAAATTTCTTAAATACTTGATTATAATAATAATAATAAGAGATTTTTTTGATACAATATTTTAAAAAGCAGAGAATAAATAATAGTAGTACGTACTAAAAGTAAGTAGTATCAATTTTTTTGTCATGGGTGACATTTTCATGGTTTTCGAGGGTGCTAAAACCGATAGGGTTGTCGAAATGTAAATCCAAGATGACGGCCGCAATAGGTATCAATTTTTTCATCATGGGTGTCATTTTCATGGTTTTCAAGGGTGCTGAAGCCCATAGTGCTGTCGAAATGTAAATCCAAGGTTACGGCTGCAATAGGTATAATTTTTTTCATCATGGGTGTCATTTTCATGGTCTTGCGAGGGTGTTAAAGCCGATAGTGCTGTGGAAATGTAAATCTAAGATGGCGACTGAATTAGGTACAAATTTTTTCATCATCGGTGGCATTTTAATGGTTTTCGAGGATGTTGAAGCCAATAGTGCTGTCGAAATGTAAATCCAAGATGACAGCTGCAATAGGTATCAATTTTTTTTATCATGGGTGTCATTTTCACGGTTTTAGAGAGAGTTGAAGCCGAGAGAATTGTCGAAATGTAAATTCAAGATTGCGGCTACAATAGGTATCAAGTTTTTCATCATGGGTGTAATTCTCATGGTTTTCGCGGGTGTTGATGCCGATGGTGCTGTCGAAATGTAAATACAAGGTGGCGGCTGCAATGGGTATCAATTTTTTCATCATGGGTGTCATTTTCATGGATTACGAGGGTGTTGAAGCCGATAGTGCTGTCGAAATGTAAATCCAAGATGACGGCTGCAATAGCTATCAACTTTTTCATCATGGGTGTCATTTTCACGGTTTTAAAGAGAATTGAAGCCGACAGAATTGTCGAAATGTAAATTCAAGATTGCGGCTGCAATAGGTATCAAGTTTTACATCATGGGTGTCATTCTCATGGTTTTCGCGGGTGTGGATGCCGATGGTGCTGTCGAAATGTAAATCCAAGATGGCGGCTGCAATAGGTATAAATTTTTTCATCATTGGTGTCATTATCATGGTTTTCGAGGGTGTTGAAGCCGATAGTGCTGTCGAAATGTAAATCCAAGGTGGCGGCTGCAATGGGTAACAATTTTTTCATCATGGGTGTCATTTTCACGGTTTTAGAGAGAGTTGAAGCCGACAGAATTGTCGAAATGTAATTTCAAGATTGCGGCTACAATAGGTATCAAGTTTTTCATCATGGGTGTCATTCTCATGGTTTTCGCGGGTGTTGATGCCGATGGTGCTGTCGAAATGTAAACACAAGGTGGCGGCTGCAATGGGTATCAATTTTTTCATCATGGGTGTCATTTTCATGAGTTTCGAGGGTGTTGAAGCCGATAGTGCTGTCGAAATGTAAATCCAAGATGACGGCTGCAGTAGGTATCAATTTTTTCATCATGGGTGTCATTTTCACGGTTTTAAAGAGAATTGAAGCCGACAGAATTGTCGAAATGTATATTCAAGATTGCGGCTGCAATAGGTATCAAGTTTTTCATCATGGGTGTCATTCTCATGGTTTTCGCGGGTGTTGATGCCGATGGTGCTGTCGAAATGTAAATCCAAGATGGCGGCTGCAATAGATAGAAATTTTTTCATCATTGGTGTCATTTTCATGGTTTTCGAGGGTGTTGAAGCCGATAGTGCTGTCGAAATGTAAATCCAAGGTGGCGGCTGCAATGGGTAACTATTTTTTTATCATGGGTGTCATTTTCATGATTTTCGAGAGTGTTCAATCCGATAGTGCTGTCGAAATGTAAATCCAAGATGGCGGCTGCAATTGATATCAATTTTTTCATCTTGGGTGTCATTTTATACGCGGTATACGTGGTAGAGCCATGCTGCAGCTATATTACTAGTATAGTTTAGCACGAATGGATCGGCTCGATCGGGGAAGGACCACGCTCTCACAGAATATCAGCGTAAAATAGCAGCTTTACACTGCTGTGTTTCGTATGGTGAGTGTAGAGAACCGAAGACTCTTTTTACTGGATAAGAGGCATTCCATCTTAGTCCTCACGAGTGACAACGCATCTGCATTTTGATTCGCAAACGCGGATAGATGTAGATGTCTATGGGCCACAGCAACCACTTACCATCAGGTGGACTGTGTGCTCGTATGTCACTCGATCTTATAAAAAAAAAATTCATGGATTTCGAGGGTGTTGAAGCCGATAGTGCTGTCAAAATATAAATCCAAGATGGCGGCTGCAATAGTTATCAATTTTTTCATCATGGTTGTCATTTTCATGGTTTTCGAGAGAGTTGAAGCCGATGTCGAAATGTAAATCCAAGATGGCGGCTACAATAGATATCAATTTTTTCATCATGGGTGTTATTCTCATGGTTTTCGCGGGTGTTGAAGCCGATGGTGCTGTCGAAATGTAAATCCAAGGTGGCGGCTGCAATAGTTATCAATTTTTTCATCATGGGTATCATTTTCATGGGTTTCGAGGGTGTTGAAGCCGATAGTGCTGTCGAAATGTAAATCCAAGATGGCAGCTGAATTATGTACCAATTTTTTCATCATGGGTCTCATTTTCATGCTTTGGTGGGTGTTGAAGCCGATAGTGCTGTCGAAATGTATTTAAACTACTTTAAAAAATTCCGTGTAATCATGTTATACGTAATTTTTTTAATGCTCTTAAGGCATGCCCAATTGGACTTACCAATTTTATTTATTTTACTATTTACTTTAATCTTTATCTTCTCCTTTAATAACCTCTAGGTATTGCTAGATGTAAATATTTTCAAAAATTGGTCAACTGATGAATAGTTTTTGTAAAAGGTGGCCAATACACTAAGTATTCGGGTTGGATAGACATCTACATCTATCCTCGTTTGCGAATCAAAATGCAGATGCGTTGTCACCCGTGAGGACTAAGATGGAATGCCTCATTTCTAGTAAAAAGGGCCTCCGGCCACCTGCACTCACCAAGCGAAACGCAGAGGTAAACCTCTACTTAACGTTGGTATTCTGTGAGGTCGTGGTACCACCCCGGTTCGAGCCGGCCCATCCGTGCGACAGCAAAAGCCGCCGCGTGGCTCTACCACTGTTATCCCTCTAACAAAAACACAGAAAGAAATTAAAAGCTTTTTAGGACTAGTAGGCTACTGCAGAAAGTTCATAAAAGCTTTGCCAAGCTTACGAAACCAATGACCTTATGTCTTAAGAAAAATAGTAAAGTTATACACTCCTCGGAATTTTTGGAGTCCTTCAAAACTTGTAAACAGATTTCAACGAATGCCTATCCTGCAGTACCCAAACTTTGACGAACCATTCATACTGACAACAGACGCATCGGACGTAGCCCTTGGTGCAGTACTGTCTCAAGGAAAAATAGGTTCAGACAAACCGGTACCATACGCATCAAGGACACTTTCGGATACAGAAGCGAAATACTCGACAATAGAAAAGGAGCTCTTAGCCATCGTATTTAACGACAGAGGCCCTAAGCTTTTTAGATGTATTTCACGTTTTACCCTTGTCGAAAACAAGACACAACAACAAGAAATAATTAAGAAATATCATGAAGGCAAAAGTGTGCATCGTGATATCCGGGAGACATACAAGCAAATCCATAGAAACTACCATTGGCCTCACATGCTACTCACAATCCAATCATTCATAAATCAATTTAGTATCTGTTTACAAGCTAAATATGAAGGGAACCCTCTTAGACCCTCATTAGCCTTAACGGGAACGCCCACAAAACCTATGCAACATATATTTATGGATCTGTATTCGACAGGCGGTGCCACCTTACTCACTATAATAGACAATTTCTCAAAGTTCGCCCAAGCAATACCGTTGAACGCCACTAGTAGTGTACATATAGCTGAAGCTTTATTTCAGATGTTCTCAGTTTTAGGAATTCCTTATAAAATTACAACGGATTCAGACTGTAAATTTGACAATAAAGTTATAAAGGAGATGTGCGCTTTACATGGTATTAACATTCACTTTACGACTCCATACAATCCAAATACGAATTCATCCATAGAATGCTTTCATTCGACTATAGGAGAGATTATCAGAATCCAACGAATGACAAACATAGATCATCCCATACAATTAATTATGAAATTTTCAGTCATCGCTTACAATAACTCAATCCATTCGACAACAGAATATACTCCACACAAGTTACTATTTGGACATACAGCTTCTAGAAATCCACTAGAGTTACATTATCCTAAGCAGTTTTACCAGGACTATGTTATCAAGCACAAAATGCATGCAGAAGCCGTCCAGGAATGTGTGTCAGCGCACATGGCCAAAAACAAGGAACAGGTAATAGCGAAGCGAAACCAGGCAGCAGAGGAGATAACATTCAAGGTAGGTGAAACAGTTTATAAGCAGGTTGCCAAAACAGCGAGAAACGACAAAACTAAACCGGTATTTAAATGACCGTATAAGATTATTCATTTACATCCTAATAATGTAGCAGAAATAGTAGGGAATCAACCTAATTCTAAGTCTATTCGGGTACATTTCAAGCTTCTACGAAGACCCCATCTTATTCCAGGACAACCATCATCGGAGCCTTCGTATTCCAGGCAAGATCCGACGTAACATTTCAACCCGTAGACAATACGAACGGAGTTCTATTACTTAGACAAGGTCATATTCTGAAACAGACTGATTCCTTCAACCTTGCTTATTAATGGTATTATACGCAAGTGCTAAGGCAACTGAATGTAACAGTACTTCAGAAGAATTACATAAAACGTATAGGGATCAGATAGAACATAAGTTAGGTTTAATTAATAAGAAAATAATTTTTATTGCACCAAGGATTAGATTTAGGCGTGGTATTATAAATGGACTAGGTTCTGTAGTGAAGGCGATAACTGGTAATTTAGACAACGAAGACGTGATTCGATTTGAAAACGAAATAAATAAAATTCGTAATTCGGTCTATAAAATGCAAAGCTCACAGAGGCGAACCCTATCTTTGTCTGAAAGTACAACAAAGGAATTTTTGAAACAACTAAGCAAAATAGATGATAGCCAAAAGAGATTAACATCTTTACTGAAAAACATAACAATTAATTCTGATACCATAAAAAACCAGTTACACTTTTTAGCGATTTACGTTCAAATAAGTTTAAATTTACAGATTATTTTAGATAAGTTAATGGTGCTAGAAGATGCTATGGCATTCTCGCAATTAGGTATAATACACCCTAGTATTATAAGGCCACGAAATTTAATTTTGGAACTTAGTTATTTGCAGAATAACTTTTCACTTTATCCAGTTCAGGAGATCAATATTGATAATATTCATAAGATAAAAAAGTCTATTAGCGTTAAAGCCTGTAGTAAAGAACATTCTTTAACATTTATATTAAAAATCCCATCCCTCCAACCTATATTATATGATTATATACACATATATTCCCTGCCAAACAACCTAAACCTAACCATTATTCCCAAATCGAAATTCCTCGCACTTGGAAGCGATGAGAACGCCTACCTGGAAGAAGATTGCAAGAAGCTGTCAGAAGATACCTGGCTCTGAAAATCACTGGATACTAGAGCCATAGAGAAATCTGAAGATTGCATCATCTCACTCATCAAGCATAAACGTGGTAACTGCACTCGTGCGCGCATGAATCTGAAGCGAGGAAAATTGCAGAAGATCAAAGAAAATAAGTGGTTGGTAGTATCAACGGAACCAGAAATTATAAAAACCCAATGCGGACAGAAAACAGAATATAGGAAACTATCAGGAACATTTTTCATCAACCTAACACAGGACTGTCAAGTCAAGATCATGAATACAATAATAAGAACACACACCAGCAGCATCTCGATGGACGAAGTCATCCCTCTACCCTAATAAACCAGGAAGAAGTCCAGTACGAAATACATCTGGAAGACATCTCACTAGATAGTGTCCATGAACTTATGAACAAGATTAAAGACATTCAAGAAATAGAAAACTGGAACTGGTCTTACATTATGGCAATCCCCAGCTGGTCTACAGTGCTCCTCTACATACTAGCAGCATCTATTGCAATCTGGAATATATACAATTGGAATAAGCAATCGAGTAAAGGAAGTCGCGAGGACGCTCTTGGAAGCTGCAGAACCAGCTTCCAACTTAAGGAGGGAAGAGTTAACGTGTCGTAACCCTGGAATCGGGCTGACATAGCAGTTTCACAGAACAATGCGCAAATGAGGAATGCTTGCATTATAACTGTCTCACAGTCTGACACCATCCACGCCTAACTTGAAATCTTTTGTTACTTTACATATTAATTGAATTTATTACTTTTGTAACTTTTGAGAAATTTAATTAATTTTATTCTTTTTAAAAAGTCTTTTGATCGCCTCCATATCGAAACTGCCCCCGTGGTTTTTTTTAGTAAAGAGATCAATGAACTACCTATGAGATGGCAAAATTGCACAGATAACAACGGTACTTTGATTAATGAAATATATTTTACAAAAAAATATTGATTTTATATTTCTCCCGTACAAAACGCTAATTTAATATGTAAGGACCTAATATATTTCAAAAACTACTGATCAGACCTCTATCAAGTTTATATGAACTATACGAGTATGAGAAAAGATTCGTCGAAATTGGTTCATCTCAAAAAAAGTGTATGAGTTAACACACATAAAAAACATATAGTTGAATTGAGTACCTCTTCTGTTTTGAAGTCGGTTAAAAATGAAGCTTCGGTCGACGATTTCAAATTGAAAAAAAAGGCTTTAAAGTGAAGCCATCAAGGGGCATAGGGAAGTGATTACTAGTTTTTTTTTTTTTACTTACACCATAGCCTAATGGTATATATATACTGGCATACTTCAAATGCTTGTCGAAAGTATTCACTGCTGCGAGTAATAAACGATTTAACACGGCGCTCCTCGCGCTACTGTGTCACTGTGAAGAAAATGCACTAGTAGTGTTCGAACATGTCGTAGAAATAGTGTCTGAGGCGGTTTGGAGAAAGTGTTTCGAAAATTCGACGGTCGGTAAGTATAATCATGTAAATGCAAAACGCAAGTTATACGGCAGAGCGATTCGATAGCTTAAAACCCGATATGTTGATAAATATTTAAGCTATGAAGCTGAAAGTACATTGCTAAAACTCGCCTAAGAACCAACATATATTTGACAATTACCAAAATTCTTATCCTTAATTATGCATTAGATAACATACATTAGATAATAACAGACACTTCTGAATTGTGAAATAAAAAAAGGACTTTTTCAATTTTGAACTTTGTACCTATTTTTTAATACTAATAAGCTGCGTTTGTGGCCTCCTGTGATTTGGCCAATCGTACAACACCTTCACTCACATATTTCAAAAGTTGTCATAGACTCAAATATATTATGAAAACGTTTATATTTTAAAATATATCTCAGATTAATATATGCCACAATGCACTGGGGTACAGTGAACTCATCTGTTTTCATTAAAAATATCAATGCTATTGTATTCTCATTGGCCTAATCAGCATTGTGCCACGCAAAAAAGTAATTAACGTTTTTTTAACATTTTTTAACAGATGACGTTTTCGTTTTGGTTTCGTTTAAAAAAAAAACACATTTCTGCAAATGTTTTCGGAATCTAAGTGCACTGTGCAGTTGGTTTGTTATGCAATACGTTTTTATAAATTACGACTCGGCTTGAACAACAGATATCGATACTCTTCTTGAGTGACCTACCTGGCTTGAATCACGGACTTTAACCAAAGGCGACTGTATAAGTTGTATTAATTTGGTATGAATAAAATAAATACCTAATCACAACCTGAGTTTTATTTACCGTATAAATGCTAGGCTAAGACTGAACTGCTTACATTAGCAATAACACAGAAAAAATAAAACATAACCTCAAAATCTCTATGATAACTGAAAAAAATCTAAGTTTTTACAAGTGTCCGTCAGGAGTTATTGTTCTTTCATACAATTATGTGTAATTTCGGACTTATAAAAGGTTTTTTTTTTACTTTTGGTTCTTAGGCGAACATTGTATAGACGCAGAACAATGTCCTTTGGCATGCTGTATAAAATTTTCCAATTTCGAAACCTGTTATTAGAAGTATGAAAACATGTTATTTTTCACCTTCGTAAATATATGCGTCTGAAAAACAATAACGCTAAACAACCTAAGTGATATTTAATGGTTTTTGTTATTACGTCGGACTCTATGTTTTTCCAAACGTTTTACTATCAAATACTGATGCTTACATTGATAGGCTATTGTAGTTTTTAATTATAGTATTCAGTTAGCATTTAAGTTTGTCTCTTTAGTATATGTTGATTTATACAAATAAAACTAAACATTATTTTCTTAAAATGATTTATTTCCACAAATATAATTATATTTATGGGGTATATATAGAGTATTCTCATTTGGTTAGGCTGAATAAATAAATAAAAGGATATGATAAATAAACATAAATATATATAAAATATACTAACATAAATAAATAAATTATACATAAATAAATAAAAGCGCATCCAGATGGAAGTCCTCTGCAGGGGAGACCACAGACCAAACGGCCGAGGGTTAGGGGGAAAGGGAATGAAACCGGCGGACGAAGCGGGTGGTATCGAGAAGCACCGCCATCTGCATTTGAGCCCGGAGCGGTCCGTCACGGAGTCCCAGTTGCCTCAGATGACCTGAGAGGCTGACTGGGATAAGCCCGTTCGCAGAAACGACCACGTCAACACAATATCAGGTTTATTCGCAAGAATAGTCGTGTCTGTGACCTATTGTGCCCGTCTTCAGTCATGCGAGGCATGCGTTTTATTTTCTCTAATACGGAAAGTACGAGATTAATAATTCCGGCTTTCCGTAACGCCTTTCTAACGTATCCATGACTTTATATGGGTCTGACACTGTGAATAGTAATGCTCTAACTGTTTAGCGAGCCGCGACTCTTAACGCTTTGCGTAACCTAGCTACGTTTTGGACGTCAGTAAACATGCTTACTGTGTCGTTGAAGACGGATTTGAAAGCCATCCACTCTGAAATCGTCCCGTCGAAATGAGGTAGCTCGTGGATGTATTTTGGTGCCGTAGAGTCCGATTTGCCTGAATTTACCGCTTGAACAATCGCGTATATAGCAAAAACCCCGTTGGTCGTTTCAGGGATGTTTAGATGTACACGTAGGCATGGCTATTATGGTAACGAAATATTTTTTTTTAATAAAGTGTTAGCAGTTTATGAATATTCCATTTCCTTTCTTGAATACCTAATAATATTTAATGTGTTAATATTTATTTTATATTTTATAATATCTTACAAATATCATTTTAAGAAGTCTCTTAACGAGGAACATTCTTAGGCCCCTAAGAATAAAAGAATTGTAAGTAGATGACGATGTTTTGACGTTATCTAACAGTTTCTGAAATAACTTTCATTACAATATATCATAGG